AAAAGAGAGTAGCTATTGAGTGGGCAATGAAGATGCAGCAGCTGACAGTTGGTCGAGGCGGGCTGTGTAAAGATGGTGTAGGAGAACTATAACCTCTTGTTGATGAAACAGTGGGGTCGTCAACCCACATGGTGCCGAGAACGTAGTCCACGAACAGTTGAGAGTCAGAGGCTAACAGAGGGATGAGACTGCGGGGAGAGAGGGAGTTGCGCACTGACGAGAGGGCGGGACACTGGGCAGTGAAGTGAGAAGCGGTCTCAGAGGAAGTAGAACCACAAAGTTTGCATGTGTCGTCCGATGTAGCGTTCCGGAAGTTGGATGTTTCTGATTCCAGCCCAGCGCAGTTCAGCAAAAGACGGATCCGGATATTATTTTGCCTTGAGAGTCTGGGAAGTCCGCGGCAGACTAAAAGGTGGGGGAGCACTTTCCCCAGGGAGAGGGACGAGCAATCGGCCAGTGGGATGTGGCTGCAGGTCTCGACGAATAGAGTAAACTCTTTGGCTAGCAGTAACCTCCTTGTCAGACGCTTCCATCCATCCCTGCTCCAACGATCTGAGATGACAAGGTTGACAGAGGGGAGGTCGTACTCAGATAGCAAGGATAGGAGTCTGGGGACGATGCCACCAGAGGGGGGGGAATTGAGCAGGGAGAGGAGCAGTTGGCGAGGAAGAGAGTCAGGAGGAAGAGACGAAAAAGAGTGGAGAAAGTTGAGTTGGCGTTGATGTATCATGCTCCTGATGCTGAGAGTGCCAAGGGTAAGGAGAAGAGCCTTGGAATTGCAACGCACAGGGAGGCCAGTTACAGTTCTCAAGATCTTTCGGTGCACGCGCTCGAGCATCAGCAGTTCGGTTTGGGTTATGCACCACAGCTCACAGCCATAGAGAAGGACAGGAAGGCAGAAGGTTTTATATAGGCGGAGGATGGTTACAGGGTGCAAGCAGCCAAATCTTGAACCGATCACGTTAAGACTGAAAAAAACGCTCCTGCCAGCACTACAGCGCTCTGATGTTCTGGTGAAAGAGGATGGGGAAACAGAGCGCAGAATTCCCAGATGGCGTTCACAGTCCTTCTCTGGGATTGTGTCTCCAGAGACTGTCCACCTCCTCGATGGCCGGTTCCGAGAGCGTGAGACTGAAGATTCTCCAATTACCAGGACTGATGACTTGGAGGCGTTCAGGGAGTACCTCCATTGCATGGCGTACGTGGAAACGATGTCCAGCATGTGTTGAAGGTCATGGCTTGAGTCGCTGATCAGTACAATGTCGTCTGCGTACATGGGGGAGCCACAGTAGAGACCGTTGATGGTGACGCCCAAGCCAGAGGAGGACAGGAGGTGGAGGAGGTCGTTCACGAAAACACAGTAAAGAAGTGGTGAGAGCACTGCTCCCTGGCGGACTCCCTGATGAATTGCGAAGGGGCGAGATGTCTGGGAGTTCCACAGAACTGACGAGGTGCATTGCCGGTACCAGTTATGAATGACGATCCAGATGTATCTTGGCATACTGAGCTGAAGGAGCTTCAGGAGGAGGCCATTCTGCCAGACAGTGTCAAATGCCTTCTTCACATCAAGAAAAGCCAAGAATGCCTTTTTCTTCTGGTTGCGGAGGTGCTGAATCGCCTCTTGTAGGATGAGAGCGGTGTGCATGCAACTCATCTTGGGCCTGAACCCGCCTTGCAGAGGATGGATTTGAGCTGCGAGCTGAGACAGTCGGTTTAGGATGAGCTTTTCAAACACTTTGCTGATGGTGGAGAGAAGTGTGATGCCACGAAAGTTAGAGGGGTTGGAGAGATCTGACCCCCTCTTCTTAGGGATGGGAACAATAAGGCCGTGTTGAAAGGAGGATGGTACATGGCCTGACAGAAGTATGGCATTGAAGAATCTAGTGAGAATGTCAAAAACGAGCGGGTGGGCGAATAGCAGGTGTTCATTGGAAAGGTGGTCAGGGCCAGCGGCTTTCCCTCTAGGCAAGGACGATACTGTCCTATCAACTTCAGCAGGGTCAATTAGATCAGGTTCAGAATCAGGAAGGTTGCGGAGAAGATTGATAATGTCAGCATGGCAAGCAGCCTCGATAGAAGGAGGTGTGCTAGAATTGCCCAGGGACTGAAAGTAGAGAGCCCAACCTTCGAGAATGAGGGGGCCCTCGAACACACAGCCATCTACTATGATGCGGTTGGTATCGAGCTTGCGGGGAAGGGGAGAAGTATGGTTCCGGATGGCTTGGAAAAATCTACGGGAGTCAAGTTCAAGATCGAGGGAGTTATAGAATGATTCATCGGAAAGCTTCTTGTGGAGTCGGATGTTAGATCTGTATTGTTTCTTTGCCGATTTGTAGGCGAGCCAGGCTGGGTGGCCAGTATCGCGGGGCTTGCCGGCACGAATCCATAGGTAGTATGACTGTCTGCATCTCCTTTTTGACACTTTCAATGCTGGACCCCAGCCAGGACGCTTGAAGCGTTGAAATGCTTTAGATGGAATATGCCTGGAGGTGGAGAGCAGAAGCTCCGACAATGTTGCCAGGTGGTCGTCGATGAGACTGGGCCGGTGGGAGAGATCGGAAACTGAGGGGAGAGTTCGGAGTAAATTCGAGAAGGGTTGGCGGAGGGGCTCAGTGTAAAGAGAGAGAATCTGCTGTTTGGATGAGCGAGCCCAATTCCTCGGAGTAAATGTAGGAGCTCGGCCACAGGCCTCAGGTACATGAATAAGAGCCGGGTGGAGGCGAAGTAGAAGAGTAGCAGTAACTGGCAGGTGGTCGGAGGTGTTCAACGGGTGGTCAGGAAGAGGATGTGCTGACTCGATTATGGGTAAGAGACTCTCGTGGCAGAGGATGTGGTCTATTGTAGAGAGAGTGCCGTGAGCCTCGCTCGCAAATGTGTGGGAAGAGGAGAGGGGGGACTTATGGAGGTGCATAGACAGAAAGTTCCACTGCGATAAATAATGTGACAAGATTCGGCCTTGTTCATTTTCAGGGGTTGTAGAGAGAGGGCCACCATGGCAGCCTGGATCAGCATTGATATCGCCGAGGATAATGACTTCAGCAAGGGATGGGAGAAGATCCATGGTTGCGCTCAGTTCGTCCAAGACTTCTCTGAAACTGTCAGTGCATCCGGAACGGCTCGGCAGATAGACAGAGAAGATGGACAGCTGATGAGTAGGAGATGTATGTGTCTGGATGCTGAGGCCAATGAGGCGATGATTTGAGATTATTGGAGTAGGAGAGAGTAGATGATCAATGCGGGAATGCCAGCCAATAGCCACCCCGCCATGGCCTCTGAGTAGCAGGGGTGTACAGTAGCGAGGATGTTCCTGGCGAGGAGGACATGCAACAATGAACTTGTAGTTAGAGCTAATCTGGTGGATAGAGTGAAGATTGTAATCATGGAGCCAGAGTTCCGAGAGTGCAATAACATCAGGAGAGAAGTGGTCAAGAAGATGATTGATGTAACAGAGGTTAGATGACAAACCGCGGACATTTAAACAGCAGAGTTTCAGATGGCTCGTGTCAGGGGGGGGAGGGGTTACTGACTGGGGAGCAGGGCACTGACGGGTGAGAAGGGGAGTGGAGAGAGAAGGGGGGGCAGATGAAGTAGAGGGGATTAGAAGAAAACGAGGGCATGGAAGAGTAGGAGCCCCCAAGTCCCCTAGGGAGGGGACTAGCAGGAGGGAGGGGTGTCGTCCCCCACCAGCAGCGGTGACTGAGAGGCCGGGAGCAGGGGGGGACTGAGAGATAAAAAAGATGAGCTTGGGGTGAGAGTACAGCGAACTCCCCGAGCTTTCATAAAGGGACCTGGGGTGGTGCTGGACGGGGGGCTGAGGAGAGAGATGCAGTAGAGGGGTGTGGCGGTGGAGCAGAGGATTGGGCAGATGTTGGTGAGGGGTGTGGCATTGAAGGAAGAGCCGTGGGCGGAGGGGCATCATCGTTAGGGGTGGGGTTAACGAGCTGAGATTCCCGTGGCTGGGGAGGATGGACTGAGCGGTCAGAAAGAGAACGGCGGAGGGACCATGAGGTTTTAGATTCAAGAATGTGCCACACTTGGGTAATTTGCTCCATCACTTCAGTGGGAGCCATGATGGTATGCCACCATATGGGTCGGGAGGATGTGTGTCGGGTGGAGCCTTTGACGGTGATGAGGTCCCAACTTGAGTTAGGGAGGAGAGCGCAAATTGCTTTGAGGATAACTTGCGGTGAGTCACTTCTCCTAGTGCCCCATACTACTCGGAATTAGCCCGACTCCTTGAGGGAGGGTACTGCCTTCGCGATGCATGGTGGGTTGAACTGAGGGTAGATGACTGGGGGGGATAGCAATGGATACAGGTTGGTGCTGGGAAGAAGAGTTCAGAGGTTGAACATCGCGATTGGGGGGTCTGGAATGGGTAGAGGATGCCTGTAGTCGTTGAGAGAGTGATTGAACTTGGGAGGACAGCCGTGAAAGGTCTTCTTCTAGGGAAAGGAGTCTGATGTTGAACTCAGTTCTGAGTGACTGCATAGATTGGGAGAGCAGGCGATGAACCTGAGATTGGAGAGGATGCGTTGCTGGTGATGAATGTGATTCCAACAAAGGAGGGGAAGAGGGAAGTGATGTAGCAGGAGGGTGCTGAGGGGGAAGGGACTGCGGGATGAATGGCCTCGCTGAGGGATTCATGGAAGCTGACGTCGGGGCAGTCAGAGATGGATGAACAATTGGGGCAGTGTGCACAGACACTAAACTTGTAGATGAGGATGATGTTACGTTGTTCGGACTACGAGGTGCACACATGTTCTCGTTGGATGTTGCCGAGATAACCGGCTGAAGTAAGGAGCGGAGGATCTGAGACTGATGCAGGGAGGTGTTATTCATCTGAGATGGAGGGTTCGACGAGCAGGGGCGTGGGGGTAGGGGATGAAGGAGGTCGGCTTTCGCCTCCAGCAAGCTCCATCTCAATAGCAATTTGAGGTGAAGAGTGGGTCGGATGCTCGGGGAGTGAGATAGGAGGGGAGGAGGGAGCTTGGGGCTCAGTTACAGAATCATAGGGAATTGAGCTTAAGGGAGGGTAAGAGGAGATGGAGTTCGTGGGAGTAGGAGATTCAGGAATGACAACAGAAGGTGCGATAGCTTGCTCCGAACCCGGTGATGATGTTACCCTCCTGGGGATCCTCACTATCAACCCCTTATGTAGGCTAGGGTCTTTCTTCCCCCTTGCTCTGATGGCAGATAAACTTGGACCGCTTCGCTGTGCGCTGCGTAAGACGCGCACACTGGACATGTGACCAGAGCTCACACTGTAAACACTCCACTAGAAGCCTTGCATTAGGGCCACAGACTCAGCGTATCCCAGCGTTTGCAAATGTACCTGTCTGAAGACGGGAGTAGCTGAGCGGCTCGTTGCTGGAGGGGAGTAGCTCCTCAACGCGTGGGTGGTAGCAGCAGTGGCTAAGGCTCCCTCACGTGCCCTCGTCTTTGTGTGACTGAGAGTGTGTGACCTTTATCGCGGACTAACAACCCTGACCTTTTCTCCCGTCAGATGCCGATGATGTAACTGGAAAATGGCGGTGTGGTCGGAGAGTCTTTTCCTCAGCGCCATATGGAGCTATCCATACGTGGCACTCTTGTCTGCTGTAGTAGCACTGCTCTCTTTTTTCTGGGTTTTCTATAGACCGACAAACATTAGCAAGGACAAGGTAAGCTTATGTACAGTTATGTTGGTGGCCACGTGTAGCAAGGGCGACCTTTGCACTTTTGCACTAAATGTTCTCCTTCGAAGCTCATATGCTAGTCGGCCACCGCCAATGAAGAGAGCACAGAGAATTGATTTGTACTCAACCGAGACACTTAGTTTGGTAGAGGGTGGAGCGCTCTACACAAGACTACAAATAAAGAGGGCCAAATGAGTCTCTAAAAGTTGTTAGAACCCTAGTGAGAGATTAGAGCTCTTGTAGCTTTCACACATGTAGCTCTCCATCGCATCAATCAAAAGGTGCGTGTTTGTGTTGTAGGAGAAACAGGTGAAAAGTGACGCTGGTATTGGTGTTTGTGAATTGAAACAAAGTGAGGACGTGAACAAACAGACGCAGTCCACCCCGCACTCTCTCTCCATCTTCTATGGTACTCAGACTGGTACTGCCAAAGTAAGTGGACTACATGGTAGTGGTGCTTGTTATACATACGAACATCCTTTCTTTAGGTACTAGCAGAGCAGGTGTTTAAGGATGTGACATCTCTCGGACTAAGAGCATCAGTTACTGATCTCTCGTCAGTTGATCCTGAGCAGTGTCTTACTCAACAGGTACAGCAGTATATTAACTATGGACTGCTTTGTACACATATATCTCTTGTTATTCAATAGCACATTTCACTGATTTATGTCTAAGTGTGGTTCTCTAACTGCACCTCTCCACCTACACTGACGGCGGACCACCAGACTCTGCTGCCTGGTTCACCCGCTGGCTGGCCGACACTGCTGCCGACTTCCGAGTCCACAAGTCTCTCCTGAAAGGAATGCACTACGCAGTGTTTGGTCTGGGGAACTCTCTGTACACACAGCACTATAACACTGCCGGGAGGGAGCTTTACCGCCACCTCCAGCAGCTCTCTGCTCAGCCTGTACATCAACTCGGGTTGGGAGATCAGAACGTGGCTCAGAGCAAGTACGGAGGTGAGGAGCGCATGAATCTACACATATCAATTGTTGTGTAAGTATGCTTATTGCCTGTTGCTAAGGTGTTGCTAAGTTTATTCCGCAAAATAAACTGGCAACAGGGCTGTGGTTAGGGAGCAGGGAGATGTTGCAGGTGTCAATAACTGGTGTTGATTGGAAAGGACAATAGAATTCCTTGTGGCTAGGGCGATGTTGCAGGTGTGGAATTTTAGTCAGTATTGTGTACAAATAGCACGACAATTTTTCGTTGTCAAAACAATCATTCGCGTAATAGCAGTCCATGTGAGGCAAACCTATTCTACTTGTTTGGCCGAACCCGACCTGTAAGGGGCAGCTCTGTGACCGGCCAGGTGCCATCGAGGATGGCGGCACTGGGCACGGTGTTAGTGCGTCTCGGCTCCAGGTACCAGGCTGAGTGGCAGAGCTGGGGGCGAGGGAAATGCCTAAGGCCGGCCAGGTGCCGAGTGTTGGCAGAGCTGGGCACGGCGAAAATGCGTCTCGTTCCAGGTGACAGTCTGGGTGCCACTCTGGAGACGAGGATGGAATGCGTCTCGTTCCAGGTGACAGTCTGGGTGCCACTCTGGAGACGAGGAGGGAGTGCGTCTCGTTCCAGGTGACAGTCTGGGTGCCACTCTGGAGACGAGGAGGGAATGCGTCTCGTTCCAGGTGACAGTCTGGGTGCCACTCTGGAGACGAGGAGGGAATGCGTCTCGTTCCAGGTGACAGTGTGGGTGCCACTCTGGAGACGAGGAGGGAATGCGTCTCATTCCAGATGACAGTCTGAGTGCCACTCTGGAGACGAGGATAGGCTCTCCCTGAAAGCCATAGGCATGTATAGGGAGGGGTATAGGTTGTTAGATAGGTGCTGCCCCAAACATTTAGGGTCCGGCTTTAGTGAGCTTACTTGGCTGTGAGTGATAGTGGAGCTCCTGCTAGTGCTGCTGCGACGCCGTTGGTCTCGCTGCTCGGCAGGCGGATGTAGCGCCGGTAGCAGTCGCTGCTCCAGCGGCCCAGGGCTTGGACCCTCCAGTCTGGAATGCCAGCTGCGGCTGCTGCTGAGGCAGCCCGATGCGGAAGGAGTGGGAGGAGTACCGCTGTGACTCGATCCGCACCGCGAGGCAGGTCTCTGATTAGGTGGTTGAGTCTCTGGCGTGTGAGAGCAGCTGTCTGGAGGCGGAACAGAGTACGTTCTGTGGCCTGGGTCTCTAGTAGGAATCCAGGGCAGTGACTGCACAGAGGGACGGGTCGCCAGATGGGAGCACTGTGACAACAGCTCCAGAGCGGAACGGGTCCATCTTGACGACTGTTTGATATGCACCTGGAACCCGTCCGCTGTCCTGTGCAGGTCACTGTCGGTGGAGTGACGAGGAGCTTGCCGCTGCGGAGGAAGGCGAAGAAGGCAAGTAGTATGCCCAAAGAGTTAGGTGGTCAGGGTAGGAGAGATTAAGGAAGGAGCGAAACGAGCGCAAGAGGGAAGGGTGATGGGGACTGCTGAGTGAGTCGTGGTGTTCCCATGCACCCGTTTGATGCCATGCATCAGTGCGTCGGAGGTTGACTGCCTCCGATGTTGGGTCCGCAGACTGTGCTCAAGGTGTAGTGTGCGGACGCGGAGAGGTAGAGTTTGATAGACTGAGGTTTGTGGGTGTGTGTGTGAGATATGTGGCAAAGAGCATAAGGGTGTTCTCGGAGGCAGGGGATTGGGGAGCCTGTCGTGTTCAGGCCGGTTGTACGTTAAGGCAAAGTTGATGAAACAGCGTTGGGCGGATGAGTAGGAGGCGCGGTGGATGGTGCGAGGGAGTGATGCAGGTAGTCATTTCTCCATGAAGGGAAGAGAGTGGGGAGAGGGTTGGCTGGGGTGAGGCCTGTGGAGCGTGTGACCAAAACACCTGCATGCGAAACCGAGAAAGATAGTCGGCAATAACATTGTGGGTGCCTGCAATGTGTTGTGCAGACACGGTAAATTGTACCTAGCAGCCAGGAGAAAGAGTGTACGGAGGAGAGACATTACATGAGGGCAACAGGAGAGCCAGACACTAGGCAATGCACTATCGCCTGGTTGTCGCAGAGTAGGCGGATGCGTAGAGTACGCCACTGTTCGCCCAAGCTGCTGCTGCGAGCACGATGGGTAGAGCTCCTTCACTGATACTCCGCTCCAAGCTGAGCGGCTCGACACCAGGCCGTTGACACCACTCACCCTGGCGTAGCACGAACCCGATGGTCCCTGAGCTGTCGTACTAGAGCTGGAGGTGGGGGAGGGGTCCAGTCTGTGCAGGGAAGGGAAGACAGTCACCGACATCTCCACGGCGGGTCGGCGAAAACTCTCCACCAACTGGAGTCGCGCAGTTGACGTCCCTGAGATGATGCGACCTCTGTCTAGGGAGGCACAGAGGCGCTGCGGTCGATCATCCTTCTGAGAAAGGTCCTTCCAGTTGACCACTTTGGCTGCGAAGCTTAGGGTGCCGATTAAGGGATAGCTAGTCCGCTTGGAGCAGCTGGAACGGGTTGCCCAAGGCATTCAGAGAGTGGTGTATGTCTGGAGTTTATCAGCGGGTGAGTCGGGCTTCAAGGGAGGCGGAGTCAAGGAGTATGCCTGGTCCCTTCCCGTTTGTCGTCGGCCAGCGGACCCCCAGGGCAGCACAGAAACGAGGGTGTGCAGGTGTTGCGAGCACGCTCTGAGTCGGGTGTACCGGCGACGAAGAAGTCATCACAGGTAGTGTGGATGTGGGTGACCCTGCTGGAAAGCTATCCACTCGATAGCCTCGGCTAAGCAATTGAAGATGAAAGGGCTGACCTGAGACCGAAAGGGAGGACCGGTCGACATAGAATGTAGCCCCTCCCTTCATGCCAAGGAGGTGTGTGTTCAGAGGGATGACTGGGCAGAGTCTGAAGCGCGCTCCTGATGTCTATCTCCGCCATCAGAGCTCCTCGACAAGGCCCCGCATTCACGAGTCTATCGGCGCTGTAGACGTCTGGAATAGCGTCAGCGGAAGTCCATTGTTATCACTGCCGTCGTTGACACTGCTCGCTGCGTAGGCAGTGCATAAGGAGGCAACATCTCTGACCTTTCTATGGAACAGCGCCGAGGGGGTTAACGACAAAGTTGGGTAGAGGGGGGAGAGGGGAAGGGTCCAAGAGTGTGCCCTGCCTGGCATTCGGCCTCCAAGTATTTGTCGATGACTTGTGGCCGGGGCAGGGCTGAGCGCAGATTGGAGGAAGGGCGTGGGTAGTGTGGGCCTGTGTATCCAACCTTGAATCCCCAGGTGAAGCCTTGGAGTAGGTAGGTGGTGAAGTCACTATTGGGGTGACCTGTAAGGAGGGAAGCTAGCAGTGGTGAGTTCACAGGTGTGTGGGTTGGAGGTATGGGACAGTGAGGCACCATTGGGGGAAGAGGTGGGAGGTGTTGAAGAGGGAGAGTAAGCGGCTGTGACCTTGATGTCCTTGATGTTGGTGGATCAAGTGGAGAGGTTGGCTCTGTGGGTGAAGTGATAAGGTCTGAGGGAGGGATTAAGGTAAGAAGTGGTGGGGGAGATGGTGGAGGGGTAGAGAGAGGTGAGTCAGGGAGGTCACTGGGGAAGATCTCTTGGTGGGGCAGGAGGTGACCGGGTGTGACCCATGACAGCCGGGGGTGAGGCACACGTGCCGGCGAGAGCAGTCGCCTCGGGCGCACCTCCCGCGGTTATAGTTGCGGCAGATCTCTTTTGCCTGGGTCTGTGTGGTGTATTTTGGGCCAGCCGTAGGGACCATGGCTTTCTTGGCTGGCCCACCAGAGGAAAAAAGAGGGCAGTCAGAGGAAGAGTGCGAGGAGGTGAGGCAGTGGTCACACCAGGCCCTGGGGCGGGCTTTGCCAGACCCTGTGAACGCATTGGTGTAGAGCTGTGGGTTTATCTGGCCCCAGGAGGCCAGGCGGAACCTAGCTGCCTTCCTCCTGAAGGCAACGTCATAGGCCATGCACGCAGAGAAATTGTATTCTGCATGGCACGTGGCGATGACATAGAGATATGCCATGAGATCGGTGGACCGCTGTGGCTGGTGGGAGGACAGGTAGTGGGCGTATACAGCAAAGCACCTCGCCCACTCTATAAAGGAGGAGACCTGTCTCTTCTTTGGTTTCCTAGGGAGGGTAAGTCTATTGTCCTCCCCTAGCTCAATTTGGACAGGGGTCTCCTCCGTACCCTCTGACTCTAATACATGCAGCAGCTCATTAAAATCCACGAACTCACCGGAGGTCGCTGCAGTAGCAAACCTGGCCGGTATGGTGGGGATGGAGCCGCTGTATGGAGCCATCTGAGGGAGGGTAGGGTAGGTGGGCAGGGGTACTGTTGCTGGGGTCTGGGTGGGAGGGGGCACGAAGGGCTGACTGGGTGGAGCCACAGGGGGAGCTGCTGCCAGTCCTGGTATATGCTGGGGGGAGAGAAAGGGGGGCTGGTACACCCATGACAGGGAGGTTGCAGTGGTGGCACTGGGGCCGTAGGACTGCGGGGCTGCCATGGATCCCAGCAGCGGCGGGAGAGTTGGGGCGGAGCCAGCGAAAGGGACCTGGCTGGGGTGCAGCGAGAACCCGGTGGCGGTGGGCTGCGGTGGAGCTACCGCAGTGGTAGACGGAAAGGGGGAAGGGCTGGTGCTGGTGCGAACGCTGTGGAGGACGCGGCAGACAGAAGGGCGAACTGCGCCAGCACTTGAGCCGCGGCTTGCTGCGCGGCCTGTCGGGCCATCGTATGGAGGTTCGGCAGCTGCAGGCCAGGGCCAGCGTGAGTGGGCGCAGTTGGCAGGCGAGGGACGCCGGCGGAGGGGGATGCGGCGTTCGCAGAGGCGGCGGGCAAGCCGGTGAATGCGAATCCGACGCCCTGCTGCGAACCAGTGTTGGCGGTGGCTGCAGAGGACGCGGGAAGGGGAGGTAGCTGGGAGCGCAGGGTCAGCAGTCGGGCGATCAGGGATGATTTAAGACCGTCGGTTGGGAGACCGTTATCCCTGCAAAGCTGGGTGAGCTGCGCCTTGAGCAGCGAGTCCAAGTCCGCGGTGCGGAGATCTGCTCGTGTTGCCATGGCCTTGAGAACTTTGAGTGGCTTTGGCGGGCAGAACACGCTGCAAACACTGCGATACGCGATAGTGTGAGCACTGCCGCGTTGCGCGTCTGTTTTGTATGCGCGTGCTTGCCCGCCTACTTCCGTTTTAACCGTAATTACCCATTAATTACCAGGAATGGAAAATTGGACTGATTTACCGCCGAGGCAACGCCACTAGAACCCGTGTTTTTCGGAACATACTTCTTCGCGAGCGCTCCGTCTCCGGCGCATTCGTCTAAGAACTCCCACCGGTGGGAGCATTTCTTGGAAAGATTTAGGCGCTTACTCTTGGATGGAGGCGATCGGCGCCTCCCTTTCCCGGATTTGCCCGCTGCTCAACACGGCGCTTTCTCATAAGTGGCGTTGCCTCGGGTGAACATGGCGGTAAATCAGTCCAATCTTCCATTCCCAACAAAAAAAGGTCGCTAGAACGAGCCACCGCTGAGGCCGTCAGAAGCGAAGGAGACGGCACAGCGCTCGCGTCCGCCATTCTTCCCGCCAGTGTAAAATTGGCTGCTTGACGTCACGTTTCCATAGTAAATACTGCTTCCGGCGTCTTAATTGGCAATAAATCAATTATAGCATGCCTAGTCGGTATGTTGCGGTTTATTCCACCCTCCCCCTCGGGCGCTATGCGCCCTCGGGCGTCGGGCGGAATAAACCAGCAATATACCTCCTATATAGGCATGCTATAACTAATACTTACAGGTATTTGCACTTTAATTAAGATTCGTCCTAATTGCGTGGGCGTCGATATTTTTAACCCTCGGCGCACATGTGCAGTGAGGGTTATAATGCTTAATTGGTTTGTAAGTGTGTCTGTCTGTCTGTACCATGTTTTATGCGACTACACGCAACGAGACAACAAAACAGCGATACCAACTGGTTCATCGCTACACTGGCTTCATTTTTAAAAAGGCGATTTTTGTATAACTGATGCGTTCAAAAGTTATGGCGTGAAAAGCAAGTGAACAAGCCAATATGCAAATTAGCACAGGCTTACCTCGACCGTTTCCGCTTGCTCTGTGTATCTTGAAGGCACAAAAAGTCACAATGAAGGGCATGTATCGACTCCCGCATGCTATAGCTAGCCTGTGTCCGACTCTACGCGAGCTACTAGCGGGAGACCACGAGTAAAGTCATAAATAGCCCAGCCCATCAATTTTAATGGTATTGCGCATGCGCAGTTCGCCGAGGGTTTGCACTTTAGTGCTTTTCATTTGAATAGCATTGCTAAAACGCTCGTGAATTATAGTGAATTTTGGTATATTTCTCGGATTTTTCACTCCTTTTTTTACAAGCTTATTAGCAATTCATATTCCTCCTCCATACAATCTCTATGGGAGAGAAAACCAGTGCGCGACTTCACCAGGAGCGAAAGGTCCGTCTCCACTACGCGCAGTGGCTTTCTCCGCCTCCTACGGTACATGCAGGCGTATTAGAGCCTATTCCGCAAAATGGCCCTGCGTGGCAAAGGTCAACGAATACGTAATACTCAAATCGTGGCCACACCCATTTTTGAAACTGGCTTTAATACGCCTGCGCGTATCGTAGGAGTCGGAAAGAACGCTATTGCGTATAGTGGAGACGGACCGTTTGGTCCTGGTGAAGTTGCGCACTGGTTTTCTCTCCCATAGAGAATGTATGGAGGAGGAATATGAATATGCTAATGAGCTTGTAAAACAAGGAGTGAAAAATCCGAGAAAGGTACCAAAATTCACTATATTTCACGAGCGTTTTAGTAATGCTATTACTAATGTATCGATACCCATGCAATTAGGGTGAATTTTAATGTTAATTTTGGAGCTAGGCCTATGGTGTGAGTTCATAACCGTTTCTGTATTATTTTCACGTCATGTGGTGGTGTGGGGGATATTATGGTACTGTGTCAATCATGAAGGTATTGAGGAGGATTTTGTGGCCTGGTGGAAAGAACTAAAGGCTCGGCTGCTCCCAGTGTTGAATGGTTCGTCTCCCATCAGCTCTCTTGACGGTCCTCAGCCGCATCAACCTACTCAGGACAGTGTAAGAGAGAGAAACTGCATGGAAGCATGTCCTGTATTCTCGATCCCTACTGTAGCTGCTCAGCACACCTTAACCCGTTAAGTGCATAACATATACAGTGGAACCTCCCTAAGACGGACACCATTGGGGCAGAGCCATGTGTCCATCTTATGGAGGGTGTCCTTTATTCAGAGGTTTTTGCTTTAGGTCCAAGTGCTTATGTATTCTGATTGTAAAACATATAATTTTACAATGGATATTGTGACTGAATGGTAATGATAATAGTTCATGTAGTGATGTAATTTAGGACTGAAGTAGATATCCATCAAGGCGACTCTGCAGTGCAGTAAGCAAGTTTGTCCACTGCAGAGGAAATAATTGTAGCTTCTGTAAGATGACCTTTGCTGTCTAAATACTCCCGTTCACCTTCAAGATGGGAAATGGCTTCTGATAAATTTTTAACCTTTGGTTGAGGAGGTCTTAACTCTTCTTCCTCTTCCTCCTCCTCATCCCCATCGTCTGAAGACGTACCAGTAGTTGAGTCCAGGCTTGCAAGAAACTGTTGGTCCCAGCTATCATCATCAGTTTCAAAACATGTGACAAGGTCATCGTCGCCATTAATGAACTCTACACTGGAGCAAGTTACTCCCTCAGGTTGGATTTGTTCCATGAAACTTTCAATCTCTGACGTGTTCGAAAAAAGGATCATGCTCATTGGGACGGGTAACTACCGAAAAGCTGTCATCCAATATTCCTGCTTTCCTAAAGCATCTCCTGATCGTTTCAGTGCTCACAGCCTCCCATGCCTGAGCCACCCACCTAATGGAGTGGAGAATACTTACTGACTTTGCGACCCTTTATCACAAGCATCAATCTGAGAAAGAACAAACCGTAAGAACAGAGTGCGATAATGCACTTTAAAATTTTGAATTATGCCAAGATCTAACGGTTGTAATTTAGAAGTGGTGATGGGAGGGAAGAATATAACTTTGATGTTGCTAAAACGATCTTAACAGAATGTTCTGGGTGGCTGGCATCCAGCATTATCCATTAGAAGAATTAGGCTCAACGTCACCACTTGATGACAATTTTCTGTTGATCCTTAGTCCAAGCACAGACACAAGAATACCTCCGCATCTGCCCCTAGTCTTTGGCTGAGACTAACGTACGAGACGGGAAGATCGCTTATGTCGATAGACTGAAGCATCTTGGCTGTAGCTGGCTTCCTCCATAGTGCCCACCAGCAGCATTGACTAGGAAGTTACTGGCATTCTTTCGTTCGATTTCTTATCCACCATGACATGAAGCTCCTTTGTTGGGGCAGACCACCACGATCTGGAAGGGCTCTCCAGAAACGCCCTGTCTCGTCAAGTTCCAGATATCTCAGCTGCATAACTTCAACAAGCTCACATACTCTTTCTTTCCAAGACTCTACTGTAACGCACTAATCATCTGACGATCGCCACTAATCTTTACATACCTGCACATTGTAATGCCTTTTCCATGATCTATCCACCCATTGGAGGCCTAAAATAACCCTCAATATGTAGTCGCTGAGCAAATTCCCTTTCCCCTGGCTTTCTCACAACAGTTGAGGACTTTCCAGGACTGATAATGTCTTGGAGCACGCAAGGAGCTGGTACCACTCATGCAGCGTTTCATTTATCTCGGAGAACTCGCTAGAACGAGCCCTTTTCTCATGCAGATGCTACTGCTACTAGCATTGGATTCGTAGAGCTCAAGGATGTTCTTATTCTTTAAAATCGATGATATCTGTGTTCTACTACTAAACCGCCAGTTAAATTGTTCTCGTAGACCTCTCTCACGTCTCAACACGACTCTCCACTCGCGACTTTATACCTTCGACTTTTTTTCCTTCCACAGATGTTAGCGTATTCTTGCTTTTGCCCATTCAGAGTAGAAAGAGAAAATACTGTGCACTAAATGGAAAGAAGTGGAGACAACGTGGACTGCAATCGAAAAAGCACAATATTTACAAATAACAAAAAAAAACCCAACCACAATAACTAATCTATAAAACAAAAACCCAAAAACAAACCATAATAACAATAAGAACATCAAATAAACAAACAATAAAAACAAATGACAAAGCAAAAATACCACAAGACACATTAAAACAAAAACAAACAAAACAATAACACAAAAAAAAAATCAAACATCAAACAACAACACTAAATAGAAAAAAAAAAACCAAAAAAAAAAAAAACAACAATAATAAAAAAATACAACCATAGAAACCAACAAACACAAAAAAATAAACAAAAGTACAAAAAAGAAACTGATATAACAAATATTAAAGAGTAAAAAAAAGAAAAAAATAAAACTAACAAAAACTAAGATATAAAAAAAAAAAACAAAAAAAATTAAACAAGAAGCACAAAAAAAAAATTAATGTAACACCATTAAAAAAAAAATACAAAAACAAGAAAATAAAAAAAAACTAGAAAAAACAAATAAACACAAAAAAATAGAAAAAATAAAAAAACAAAAATATATAAAAAATAAAAAAACAAAAATAAAAAAAATAAAATCAAAAATACACAAAACAAAAACAAATAAACGATAACCAAAAAATAAAAAACAAAAAAAAACAAAAAAACTAAACAACACTTGTCAATCCCTCCATCCCCCAACTATATAAAAAAAAACAAAAAAAAAAAAAAAAAATAACAAAAAAAAAAAAAAATAAAAAAAAAAACAAATAAAAAAAACAAAAAAAATAAAACCAAAAAAAAAAAAAAAAAAAAAAAAAAAAAAAAAAAAAAAAAAAAAAAAAAAAAAAAAAAAAAAAAAAAACAAAAAAAAAAAAAAACCACGCCTACGAGTAGATGGCAAGTCAAGTTGTAGGTACAAGCCTTCGTGTTCTCGAGTTCGATTCGTATGTCAGAGATTACCACGCATACAGGGATATGTGGAACCCCGCACTAGGTGACGTTCTTCCACTCGAAAGAGAGTTAACTAACCCTAAGGACAAGTTTTCCGTTGCTCTTATGAAAGGAAGTACGGTTGTCGGCCATATACCGTATAATATCGCACCCGCTGTGTCTCACTTTCTAAAAAGAAGCATTAATAAAGCTACAGTTGAAGTTACAGGAGCTGCTGTCAATCGTGGTGCAGGATATGGCATGGAAATCCCTTGCAAATACAGATTTTATGGCACGAATGACTACATTGAGAGACTCCGACTTATCCTGTCATAGAAACAGTAGTAGTACTGTGTAGCTATAGCAATTATGTGTCCAAGTGAAAATAGTGCAAGCGTCCGCGCTGGTGCTGAGTGTCCGTTATCGGAGGTACCATTGTATTGTGTCAGTGAAATGGGGAGTAGTGTACTGTCCATTTTACGGGTTAGGGAGGTGTCCGTTTCCGGAGGTTTTTTGTACAGCTTTTAATGGAAATATTTCGGGACCCGCGTAAGCGTCCGTTTTACCGCAAGTGTCCGCAGTTGGGTGGTGTCCGTTAATGGAGGTTCCACTGTACATGTGGAGGGGTCAATGTATCGTATGTCCCCATTTTAGATTAAACCCGGATCTAATGCTGTAGATGCCATGCCTGTAAGAGTGTGCTTTGTAGCAAGCAGTTGAAGTGTTTCTCTGTGAAACACATTGGAAACCTCTTTCTGCATTGTTAGACTGCTTGTCACTTAATAGAACGTGTAATCACGTAAACCCATAGCTAGGCCTATAGGACCTTGGAGTGTGGGTTCGTACGGCCCTAGTTACACATGTGTTGTTCATTGTACAGGAGGTTCTATGGGAGTCAAGTAGTGAAGAAGAGGGAGAGGAGGAGGAGGGGGGAGGGGAGGGTGGGAAGAGGGAAAGTGGAGTGGTGGATCTTGAAGATGTGGGAGACATGCTACGTAAGGCAAGGCCACCTCGTGCTAGCAGAGAATTGAAGATCAAGAGAAGAGGGGAGAGGAGAGAGATGGTAACTCCATTGCTCAGGAAAACCCTTAGTAAACAAGGTGTGTACAGTAACATATGACGTGTTCATTGGTTATGTGACTCTAATATAATTATTATCTGGGGAAGCATTTAACCAACTCATATTAACTGTCCTTCAACCTTGCTTCAATGTGTGGTCGAGTTGACTACATGTGGTCATAATAGCAAAACATTTGCTCCACTCCCTTGTCATGCTAGGCCGTCTGCTATTGTATGGGGCAACAGTCTTCAACTTTCGACATGCATGGTTTACAGTACTTGGTCTGTCTGCATCTATTCTGGCACTACAGGCTATTAGGTGGCCTATGAGTGATACCAACAGCTTCGCAGGCCCTTAATATGATGGCAATTTTCCTGAAACGACTGCGTTCGAGAGACAAAAAGCAAAAAAGCCCATATGCAAATCCCAGGGGAAGTGGCGGAGTCATTATTTACTTGCAACACCAAGTTGAAGCGGTTTTTGGATGCTCCGCATTCCTCATGTCCGTCATTGCTCAACCTCTGGGGAGCTTAATTTGTTTCTATTATGTATAATTATCACAACAGTGCAAACGTATATAAGGTGCTGTTCTGTTGAGTAAAACGTTCCTGTACTTCTATCTTGCTGCGCCATCAGTTTCCTCTTAGTTTATTAGTGGCCTCTTACTCTCTGTGACCTCTGTATAAACTTGTTGTTTGACTTTCTTGATAAACTTGTGTATACTAAATCCATAGAGAACACAGTGGGGCAATGTCAGAATGCCTACCTGTACCCAGGCTAGTGTTGTTGAAAACGAATAGAGGTGTAGTATTGCAGATGTGGTAGCTGATACTCCGAGTATGATGAGTAAGACTGTCCCAGACATATTAGCAGACCTTTTCTTGTATGGCTCAAGCACCACACAAGCCACTGCTAAAACTATCAGTAGAGGAATGAATGTTAGCAGCCATTGAACGATTCTCCTTCCCAAGAGGGTTACTATTCCATTCACTGTCGGGAATATTATCCAAATGAGGAAGATGACGCCTGCTACTGGTCTATATAGTCCCTTGATTTGTCAGTGCCGTCCTTGTAGCTTCCGTGGAATGTGTCTCTGAATATTTTAGTCTCAGTTGCCATCTTGTGTTGAGGTGTGTGCTGGCTTTCTGGAAGCAACGAAACGGATACAACATCAGCAGAATTGTTGGTGGCAAGAGAACAAAGACGAGAATTGCAACTGATAGAGCTACAACTGGTATGATGGTGACTAAATAGAACCACAGTTGGATCTATGTAGGAAACTGTCGTAACAACTTGACCTTGCATGTTTACAACGTATGCTGCAAACACTGAGTCACAAACTGCTCCTCCATAATAATAATGCATAGGTAGACATAACCCAACATGTTGTCAAGTATGATTGCATGACCATCATTGCCCAGCGCGTTAGCGTGAGGCAACTACTCCGGGTTGTATTCTCGCGATATGCGTACGTACGTGTCGTCACGCTTAGTCACACTTAGGAATGTCACTTCCGTGATTCGTAGGAAGTCTAGCTTCCGCCGTGCGCGCAGATTCGTTGGAAGTCTGGCTTCGCGCGCAGTCAGTAGAGCGCGCGCACGAGCGGCCTCAGTCGGAGTGTTGTTTACACATTAGCTGGCAGACGCGAGGCAAAATATGCGCGTGCACATTCCTAGTATATAAGTTGAAGTCAGCATTTACAAGGTATACACAACAACTCTCAAAAAGTTTAAAGCAAAGGTGTGCAAAAATACATGCAATACTGCTCAATAGCCATGGGTTATATGAACTACATGGTCAACATACGTAGCTCAAAATATCATGGCATCCGTGACAATTAATGTACGTGCACAGAGCATAAAGGAATACTATCAGGCTACTTCAAACAAGAATCCAAAGTCTGCGATCCATCTGTATTTTGTTCCTTTGAGTCCACCCATTTTGACACATACTTATACTAAACAAATTAAAAATCCGTTCGAGTTGAAGTGCAGCAATTAATTTCGTGCTCTACGTATCACAAAAGGTACTCTGTGCAAATTTTTTCATTGTTAGTTGTCTAGTAACAGAGTTCCCTCACTACCAGGGCTGAGGAAATACAGCAGGCCACGGCCTGTGCCAATCGCAGTAGCTCTCTCTTTGAGGCATCGTATCAGTCTGACTGCTCCATAGACATAGAGAACAGCATGTGGCATCATCAGTACTGTTATGGCAGCTGCAGCCATTGTTTGTGAGTAGGCATAGACATTTAGAACGGTAGTTATTGCAGCTGCAGCACTAAGGTTAAGGAGAAGAAGTGTTCCAGAAACATTGGCTGCTCTCTCTTGGTGTGGCTGAAAAACAAGACATGCTATAGCCATACCTACTGTCAAAGGGAAAAGCATCACAAACAAGGATACATGAGGTGAAAATACTCCGTAAACTATGACATTTAGTGCTGTGAGTGCTATCCAAGCAATGAAAACAAAGCCAGCGACTGAACGGTAATCTTTTGTTCCGTTGAGTCCACTCTTGTAACTACCGTAAAAAACATCAGTGAATATTTTCAATGTCAGAGCCCGCCTTGGTTTTAGATTCTTGCTTAGTGTTCGAAAGCAAGCAGTGGGATAGAACAGTAACAGAAGTGTAGGTGGCAACAGAATAAAGAAGAGAATGACGGCCGAGAGGAATACGACTGGTAAGTGACTGCGACTGAACGGTACAACCATTGGATCAATAGACGAAACAGTTTCGTGGATCTCGCCATTCATGCTGTGGACACTCGTGGGAATCATCGAATCTGTGACAATGCTGAAAAACTTCACAAAAGATAAAAAGAAAAGCGTCGCAAGTGCTTGTATCAGGGATTTATTGTGGTTCCAACGATTAAGGAATATTTTGCATCTACTCAGTTTCCAAAGGAAGACAATCAGTTTGCAATCCTTGGCATAGAGCTCGATTGAGATGTATGTTATCAGCAAGAGAAGAAATGGGTAGAGAGCAGACAAAGTGTCAAAAATGGGAATATTGATCTCATGAACTCTTTCTGAAATGCACAGTGGAGGAGAGAAAGAAAAATAAAAGGATCCAGTGTCCAAAGTGAGTTCAGAGTCAATAACAATTTCACTGGAAGTGTGCGAGTGCCAGCAAACAGATAATACTGTCCTACGTTGGTTTTCAACAATGCCTGTGTAATATTGCAGTAGAGGACAAAGTGTGCCATTGGCGGGAGACGATGCTGTATCTGGACCATAGTACGGCAAGGAATATGAGAGTGATTGGGACATACAGTAGTAAGATGTAATAGAGTAGGTTCAGCACACTGCATGAAGCACACTGGCTCCCAAAGGAATATATTGATGGCCCGGTGCCATTAGTACACCTACCACAGAAAAGAGTTTCCTTTGTTTCCCGGTGGAGATGACCACAAGTGAAACTGTTGAGATCTGAGAGGTTCCGAGGCAGACGAATGAATCCAGCACGAATCAGATGATGGGGAAACACATACGGAGAGTTGGCGGCTACAGTTTGGTTCAGATACTGATAAGCACAGTGTCCAACCTTCACGTAGGATGTTCTTTCCCTCTGGTTGCAGTCAATGATGGACTTGACCGCACTGCTACAAACACACTCGGGAAACTCTTGGGCTGGTCTGCTGACCTGATTGAACCATGGGGGACACTCAGGAGGTATTCCTCTCACCAACACCAACAGCATCACGCAACCGAAAATATAGTATGCTCCCATTTCCAAACTCTGGCGCGCACTAAACTTTCGGCAGACAGGTCCCAGTCAGTGAACAAGTGGTGCTGTGGACTTCAGGAAATGGTGGACAATGTTGCAAATTCACAGAAACAGTTGCAAGAGGATTTAACTTTCATTCAGAACATTAGCTTGTACACCACCATTCTCGGTCCTACCGGGAGTTAGATCTAGAGCGAGGTACGCGGATGTATTTATATGATGCAACCACCTTTTGAAGAAAGTTTTTTGTGCAAGCAAGCTTTCACGCTAACTCACTTGTACAGAACAGATGTGTTGCAGTGTTTTTTCCCCTAAGGCATGCTGTATTTGTGGGCCTACTCTCATCAAACAGTGAAACATATACGTAGGCTCTCTTTCTTAAAATTCAATGAACTTCCCCGTTGGAGCCCGTGAAGGAAACAGTACGTAGCCACCTGGTCCAATGCTCTACTTTGCATGTTTCATGTCAACACTGAAACTTAATGTATTGGTTTTTCAAGTACAGCCTCTGTTTGTACAAACGGATCAGGAGCTAAGGCAAACACTCTTTCAGTTGATAGGAAAAATGAATGTTTTTACAAACAGAGGCTGTACTTGAAAAGCAATACATTAAGTTTCAGTGTTGACATGAAACATGCTAAGTAGAGCATTGGACCAGGTGGCTACGTATATTGTCGTCAGGTAGTGTATGAACACACACTGAGGGTAGGCTGATGAACCTTCAGTGAACCAAGGTGGACATGTCCCTCCACAGACAGACATTCTCACTGGCATTAGAAACAGAATGAAAAGGTAGTGGGACCTCCATAGTGGTCTACACTACCTGACGACAATATATGTAGCCACCTGGTCTGATGGTATACTGTGCATGAACACTGAAAATCATTCAGCTTACTGTCAAATACAGCCTCTGTTTGTAAAAATGTTTTTTTGGCTCTGATGGAATGTTCATTTGACCACATGCTCAGAAAGGTTATGCCTAGTAGTAAACTTGTGACGACTAGCCAATATACATGTAACACGTATGTGCATAAGCATTGCTTTAACACATAGTAGGTTGCATCTGACATCATGAGCCATGTTTGACATGGCATTGTAGTAATGTAAACCTACAGTTAGAAGAAAAATTAAATCGTAAATTCTGCAGCACTAACCTTCTTTACATGTTTGTTTTTTTAACCGGACTTGAACATAGTGCAAGGGTCTCGTATCTCCCACAAATATTCTCTGTACTATACTCTAACTTCTGCCGGTTTTTGCATCCAAATGAGGAGAACTACTCTATGTTCCTTAGTGACCTCTTACTCTCTGCTGCGTTGTAACATCGGAAGTGAGGGACTGCTCGTCATCTGGCTCCTGCTCATGGTTCGACTACAAAAGTACGAACATGTGTGTTCTGGATGTACTCGCAAGCTGTGCATTCACCTCATCCCATGTGGGTGTGGAGGCGTGTTGTCGAAACTGGCCGTGGACCGCCATACTACCGCACTTATGGCAACAGTAGTCACATGATGTCGAGTTGTATATTGTGCATTTTCCCTATCAGCTGAAAAGAGAGTTTGGCTTTTCCAACTTCTCTAACCTGATATGTTTGTAAAAACATGTTTTTCCTCGACGGGCTCCGACGGGTAAGTTTGAGGAATTTAGGAAAGAGGGTTCATTGTTTTATGAGAGTGGGCCCACAATATGCCGTGGCTTAGGGGGAAAATTGCAAGTTCTGTACAAGTAAGTGAAGCGTGCAAGTTGCTCCGATAGCTTTCTTTACTAAATCTGCGCATCTCGCTCTGTGTGCCAGAGTTTGGAAATGGGAGCATACTATATTTTCGTTTACGTATGCTGTTTGTGTTGGTGAGAGGAATACCTCCTGAGTGTCCCCCATGGTTCAATCAGGTCAGCGAGACCAGCCCAGAGTTTCCCGAGTGTGTTTCGTAGCAGTGCGGTCAAGTCCATCATTGACTGCAACCAGAGGGAAAGAACATCCTACGTGAAAGTTGGACACTGTGCTTATCAGTATCTGAACCAAACTGTAGCCGTCAACTCTCCTTTTGTGTTTCCCCATCATCTGATTCGTGCTGGATTCATTCGTCTGCCTCGGAACCTCTCAGATCTCAACAGTTTCACTTGTGGTAATCTCCACCGGGAACAAGGAACTCTTTTCTGTGGTAGGTGTACTATTGACACCGGGCCATCAATATATTCCTTTGGGAGCCAGTGTGCTTCATGCAGTGTGCTGAACCTACTCTATTACATCTTACTACTGTATGTCCCAATCACTCTCATATTCCTTGCCGTACTATGGTCCAGATACAGCATCGTCTCCCCGCCAATGGCACACTTTGTCCTCTACTGCAATATGACCCAGGCAGCGTTGAAAACGAACCTAGGACAGTATTATCTTTTTGCTGGCGCTCGCACACTTCCAGTGAAATTGTTATTGACTCTGAACTCACTTTGGACACTGGATCCTTTTATTTTTCTTTCTCCTCCACTGTGCATTTCAGAAAGAGTTCATGAGATCAATATTCCCATTTTTGACACTTTGTCTGCTCTCTACCCATTTCTTCTCTTGCTGATAACATACATCTCAATCGAGCTCTATGCCAAGGATTGCAAAATCATTGTCTTCCTTTGGAAACTTAGTAGATGCAAAATATTCCTTAATCGTCGGCTAGCGTGAGGCTGTCGTATTACCTGTCGTATTCCTCTCGGCTGTCATTCTCTTCTTTATTTTGTTGCCACCTACACTTCTGTTACTGTTCTATCCCACTGCTTGCTTTCGAAGACTAAACAAGCGTCTAAAACCAAGGCAGGCTCTTACAATAAAAATATTCACTTATGTTTTTTTACGGTAGTTACAAGAGTGGACTCAACGGAACAAAAGATTACCGTTCAGTCGCTTGCTTTGTTTTCATTGCTTGGATAGCACTCGCAGCACTAAACATTATAGTTTACGAAGTATTTTTACCTCATACATCCTGGTTTGTGATGTTTTTCCCTCTGGCAGTAGGTATGGCTATAGCATGTCTGGTGTTTCAGCCACACCAAGAGAGAGCAGCCAATGTTTCTGGAACACTTCTTCTCCTTAACCTCACGGCTGCAGCTGCTATAGCTATCGTTCTAGATGTCTATGCCTACTCACAAACAATGGCTGTGGCTGCCATAGCAGTACTGATGATGCCACATGCTGTCCTCTATGTCTATGGAGCAGTCAGACTGATACGATGCCTCAAAGAGAGAGCTACCGCGATTGGCACAGGCCGTCGACTGCTCTATTTCCTCAGCCCTGGTAGCGAGGGAACTCTGTTACTAGACAACTAACAAAATATAAGTTTGCACAGTGTATTCTTTTGAGTTGACTTAACGGAACAAAATTATGGATCGCAGACTTTGTTTTTGTTTGAAGTAGCCTGATAGTATTCCTTTATGCTCTGTGGACGTACATTAATTGTCACGGATGCCATGATATTTTCAGCTACGTACGTTGACCGTGTAGTTAATAAAACCCAGGGCTATTCAGCAGTATTGCATGTGGACTGAGAGAATTTTTGTACACCTTTGCTTTAAAGACATTTTAACTTTTTGAGAGATGTTGTGTATGCTGAGTTAGAGTTTGTTGTTCTTTCGAATGGAATGTACATTGTGCAACAGTGACACAGCGTGTAATTTTTTATTCATAATGTATTAATTAGGGGCATACCCAGGGATATCCCTTGCTAAGTTATGCAGTGTGAAGAGCTTATGTAAACGTTAATTTAAATGCAGTTCTTCTCTGTGTATTCTGTGGTGTACTTGAAAGTAAAACATCCACCAGCACAAAACAATAGAAGGTAGGAGAAGCAAATGACATGATATTTGGTCTGGCATCAAGTGACCAGGTATCTGAGTTCAACTTAACTGATTGACGCAGGCCCCTTTTCTACTTGCCGCAAGAACAACTTCCATGTCAGTGTAAAGAAGTATAATAGGCAAATAATTTACAAATTTTGCCCTTGCCCCACTGGATGACCTCCATCCATACTCCTAAAAGCTCCACTGTTACCTTCGTGCATGGTGTTCATCTCATAGTTTAACGTTGAACTTCATACTAACTGACAAGAAAAACAGTGTTGCGAATGCTTGTATGAGTGACCGTTTGTCATTCCACGAACTGAGTGACTTTAGGCATATGATCACTTTCCACAGAATCATAACAGGTTTGAAGCCACATGAATTCAGCTTAATTACAGTATGTATGCCAATAGAAGGATAGAGAACGTATATGATGATGATATAATACCGAAAAAAGGAGTATACGTAGATCTCATGAATTTTCTTAATAATTCAGAGAGGCAGGGCTAAGAAGTAAAGGGGATCCAGAGTCCATAGTGAATATAAAAGCAGTAGAAATTGTACCCCATATCTTTCTCCACTCTCTCCATTGAACATTGTGTACTGTCCCACACATGATTTCAAGACCAGCTGTACTAGTACTTAACTAAAGAGGCAGTTTGTGACTGTAGAGTTGTAATTGTTGTTATCAACCAGTTTCCATGCAAAGGCTTGATGAGAGACGCTTTTAGATCAATCTTCACCTTATCCAGGCTTGCACCTTGGTCTAGCGCAGTCTTGATTTCGTCTGCATACCACCTACTGAAATGTTCCTTCATTAGAGCTTTAAACTCATCATTCACAGAGAGATCAAGTGGCTGCAGTTCGCCAGTGCATGAAGCAGGGACAGATATCTGATGAATGTGATGTGCACTCAACTTTTGAAGCACTGAGCTGCAACGATGAGCAGCAAATACATCAAAAACAGATAGGCACACTTGGTCTTCTGGTAGCTCTAGTTCTCTCCGAGCTGGTGAGAAGTGACAACATGATCTATCTATTGAAGCATTGTTTCCTCCGTACTTCAATGGTTATCACTATGTGTGATGTGCCATCTCTGAGGAAAAGTGATCTTGGCAGGACATCCAGGTGTTTTTCCGGGATAGATTAGCTGGGGTGGTAACAGAGTTCCACTAGCAGACACAGCAAGAAGAACAGTTATCTCTCTTTTGTCATCCTTGCCAACAACTGACACTTGCGCGCTTCCTTGCTCAGCCAATGTCCACTGGCTAACAGGCACAAACTTTGACCCTGTCTGATCTCAATTGATGACCAATTTTGGAGGAATAGCATGTTGCTCGACTTCATCGCGAATTCTCTGTAAAAAGGCAGATTTAAGATCTTCAAAATTAGGCGGTAGTTTTTCGTGCGGCCTTGGTTGCCTTTCTCTTAACATATCCACAGCGTCTTAGGAAAGACTCTGCCCATTTCACACCAATACGTATAAGCCCACCATGTTCCTGGAGCTGAGAGGGATTGCTGTGGGACGACTATTCCTGCTTGCACAATAGAGCGATTGACAATACCACCCGCCAAATGTAAGGCTTGTATGTACTCCACAATTTTAGTATCTAGCTCCTCTCCGAGTAATAACGGTCGGCCGAGGCTAGCGTGAGGCAAACTAACAACCTCGTCAGAGTCCGGTACACTCTTCAGCACACGCAGGTACGCCTTTTTCATGTTCCTCACGCTGCTTTCAGAAACACAATGGCCGAGTTCTTGCGTGAATCTTAGTGCAGCTGACTTGTTACCGTGCTGACACGCATGTTTTGCTATCTTAGCCCGTACTTCAGGATCATAGTGATGGTACCTACCCAGTTTTCAGCGTTTTTCCTTCGACACCTGTTGCACACTATCATTGGCAGCTGAAGTGCACGGATCTGCTGGACTTGGAAACAACGGAGGTGATTCTTTTGATTCCAGCCTTTTTCAGCCAGCCGTACAAGGACGCCAATGCAACCACGCGGTAGTATACTGCGCATGCGCATTAGGGTTTATATTGGCATCCACAATAATTAGAGATTACTAGGAATGCGCACGCGCACATTTTGCCTCGCGCCTGACAGCCAATGCGTAAACACTCCGACCGAGGCCGCTCGTGCGCGCGCTCTACTGACTGCGCACTAAGCCAGACTTCCTACGAATCTGCGCGCACGGCGGAAGCTAGACTTCCTACAAATGACATTCCTAAGCGTGACTAATTGACATTCTTAAGCGTGACGACACGTACGTACGCATATCGCGAGAATACAACCCGGAGTAGTTGCCTCATGCTAACGCGCTCGGCAACTAAAGAAATGCTAATATCGCTAACATTAATGGCACGCTAAAATTAATGGTTTTACAGTACTTTCCCACACATGATTTCAAGACAAGCTGTACTATGTTACAGTACATAATGTAGTGTCCAAAAGGAGGGGACACCATGCTGATTCTGAAGGTTATGATAACTACTAAGGATATGACAGTAATTGGAACGTACTGCAGCATGATGTTGTAAGACTATATTTATCGAGGGACATATAGCACAATGAATACACAGATGGTCCAGTACCATTTCTACATCTTCCACAGAATAAATCCCACACTTGTTGTTCAACATGACTACAAGTAAAGTTGTTTAGGTCAGTGAGGTTTTGAGGTAGGTGAATGAGTCCATTTTTTACAAGGTGAAGTGGAAATACATATGGTCAGTATGCCGCCAGAGTTTCATTCGTATAGATGTCATGGTAAGTACAGTGTCCCATTTTGACATATGAAGCACCTTCTCTCTGATTGCACATCACCACTGACTCCATTGCACCGCTGCACACACACTGAGGGTAGGCTAATGAACCTTCAGTGAACCAAGGTGGACATGTCCCTCCACAGACAGGCATTCTCACTGGCATTAGAAACAGAATGAAAAGGTAGTGGACCTCCATAGTGGTCTAGACTACCTGACGACAATATATGTAGCCACCTGGTCTGATGCTATACTGTGCATGAACACTGAAAATCATTCAGCTCAATGTGTGTTTGTCAAGTACAGCCTCTGTTTGTAAAAACATGTTTTTTTGCCTCTGATGGAATTACTATATTCTGACTTCTGCCGCTCTTTGCATCCAAACGAGGAGAACTACTCTATGTTCCTTAGTGACCTCTTACTCTCTGTTGCATTGTAACCTCGGAATTGAGGGACTGCTCGTCATCTGGCTCCTGCTCATGGTTCGACTATAGAAGTACGAATATGTGTGTTCGGGATGTATTGCGCAAGCTGTGCGTTCACCTCATCCCATGTGGGTGTGGAGGCGTGTTGTCAAAGCAGAAGCAAAAGGCCACGGACTGGCGAACTACCGCATTTGTATGGCAACAATAGCCACATGGTGTCGAGTTGTAAATTGTGCAATTTCCCTATCAACTGAAAAGAGAGTTTAGCTTATCCAACTTCTCTAATCTGATCTGTTTGTAAAAACATGTTTTTCCTCCACGGGCTCCGACGGGGAAGTTTAAGGAATTTTAGGAAAGAGGGGATGTATGGTTCACTGTTTGATGAGAGTGGGCCAACAAATACAAATAGGCTTAGGAAAAACGCTGCAACACATCTGGTGTGTGTAAAAGTTCTCTACAAGTGAGTGAAGCTTGCAAGTGGCACCGATAGCTTTCTTCACCAGATTACTAAACCTGCGCATCTCGCTCCAGATCGCACTCTTGGTAGAACTGACAGAATTGTGAGTGTATAAGCTATGTTCTGAAATCTTCTTGCAACTGTTTCTGAAAATTCTCAACACCATATCCTGAATTCCACAGCACCACTTGTTATTATTGTCACTCTATATAACGCTGACATGTCTACCGATTAGTGTGTGCCAGAGTTTGGAAATGGGAGCATACTATATTTTTGGTTACGTGATGCTGTTGGTGTTGGTGAGAGGAATACCTCCTGAGTGTCCCCCATGGTTCAATCAGGTCAGCAAGACCAGCCCAGAGTTTCCCGAGTGTGTTTGTAGCAGTGCGGTCAAGTCCATCATTGACTGCAACCAGAGGGAAAGAACATCCTACGTGAAGGTTGGACACTGTGCTTATCAGTATCTCAACCAAACTGTAGCCGCCAACTCTCCGTATGTGTTTCCCCATCATCTGATTCGTGCTGGATTCATTCGTCTGCCTCGGAACCTCTCAGATCTCAACCTTGGGGGACTTATTTCTGTGGAAGATGTAGAAACAGTACTGGACCATCTGTGTATTCATTTGGAAGCCAGTGTGCTACGTACATGTCCCTCGATAAATATCCCTTTCGGTCACAAAATGTTGTGAATTTACCAACTCGGTCGGAGCTTTGATGCTGCTTTCCATCTACCCTTTCAGTACTCTATGGAGGTCCACTACCTTTTCATTCTGCATTGAGAAAATTTACGAGATCTATGTATAGGTTATACGATGGCGGCGCGTGGTCTACTGGAGTGGGCCGAGTGGTCTATCAAAACTGAAGCCACGAACGAGTGTGCAATCAGTAGACCACAAGCCAATGCCATCGTATAACGTGTTTGTATGATGACATCCAGCGGTAAGGCTCTGACCAATGAGATTGCGCAAAAGCGTTCAAAACGCCCTCTTTTTAACGCACACCCTCGAGTGTACCGAGAGAGCTATCTAGAAATCGATAGGGAGAGAGACAGCTGCAATAAGCTATACTTTTTCTCTGCTAGACTCCACACGAGTTTTGTAGCTGCCGCTCTGGCTCGCTTTCTCTCCCGCTATACCCAGCACTCTCGAATGCAGCCTGTTGCAATAGCAAGAAAGCTGGAAGTCACCGAATACTGTTCCAGTCCACAGGAGCCTACGCGTCGGGAAGCAGCTTTCGCTAGTTTTCAGACCGCGTATAATACTAGAGCAGTTTCTGGCCATTCTTGCCTGAAAACACTCCCTTCTGGTAAAGAAACAGCAGCACACAAAGAGTGTAAAAGCCCCCAATTGCATTCCACGCTGCCAATTTCCTACTATCGTCTAACTCCTGTAGACCCACTGTGGTTTATGCAAATGAGTTGACATACAGCTAAAGTATGGGGAAATTGTATGGCCTCTTTATGTTTTAAATATAGGTTACACTATGCACACAAGCCGGTTTAGTGGACATACACTACGAGTGCACAGCACGAGTAGTGCATGCACTAAACCATCGAGTGGGTGTAGTGTAACCAATTTGTACCACAGGAATGCGCACTAAGACAACTTATTAGTATGCATACCATACTGTATGAGAGCTCATACACCACATGTGAGTGTATGGCTGAGTCAGCACACCATACACCATGGCATGCATACTAATGAGTTGTCTTAGTGCGCATACGGATTTTTTAAAGATATACTATGTTTGTTTGGTATAAGTATGTGTGAAAATGGTTCCACGACGGCCTCTAAGCCGTTACGCCTTCGTGCTAACCCTACCCTTACGGAACAAAATTACCGATGGGATCGCAGTCTTTGTTTTTTTTGAAGTAGCCTGATAGTATTTCTTTATGTTCTGTGCACGTACATTAATTGTCACGGATGCCATGATATTTTCAGCTACGTATGTTGACCATGTAGTTCATAAAACCCAGGGCAGTATTCCTTGTGGACTGAGAGAATTTTTTGTACACCTTTGCTTTAAAGACATTTTAACTTTTTGAGAGATGTTGTGTATGCTGAGTTAGAGTTTGTTGTTCTTTCGAATGGAATGTACATTGTGCAACTGTGGCACAGCATGTAATTTTATATTCATAATCTTTTAATTAGTG